TTCCCTGTAACCATATTATAAAGCCTAAAGCCCTTGTCTGCAGCCATATTAGGAGAACAATAGCCATTAGCTAAGAAGAAGGAAGTCACATCCTCATATTCCATCTAAATTATATTAAAACATTGTAATATCAGGCTGTTAAGGAGATCCTGTCCTAATAGCACTCACGATCACATAAAAAGCAGATCTTAAGGTGGTTAAAGAAAACTCAGTTTGATAGCATTCTGTCTGGCAAGCAATCACTTATCAATAGTTGTGATTGTTTTTTTGTTTTGTCCTTATAGTCCCCATTTCTGTACAGTATTGTTTGTCTGGATGATCTCTGGCTCTTTTATGGTTTGTCTGTTACATAATTAATGTTGCAGGGTGTAAATCAATTAACTTGGTGTGTGTGATGTGGTGCACCAGACCCAGAAGCCTCCTTCGTGTCCCAGGAAAAGGTAATAGAGTGGTCCTCCAGGTAGGCTAGAGTGGCTGAAGGAAACGGGCCAATCAAGAACGAGGAAGGCCCATAAAAGAGCTGCAAAGTAAAGTAGCAGTTAGTTGCAATATGGAGCTCAAGGGGTGTAGATTGGGTGATGGCATGGAGCAACAAAAAAAAGCAGAAGCACTAGCACTGTAAATGACTGGTAGGCTATGCTGGAACTTTGGAGTCAAAGCTCTAAGGTAAGGGTGAAGATGCTGCTTCTAGGAGGGGAAGCCATAGGGCCACCACTCTTTTTCAGAGTGGTGAACAGATTCAGAGAAACATTAGAGGGCACGGAGATGGGCCCCTGTTAGATGTGTAGGGGTTTTTTGATTGTACACAGGGGCTACGTCTAGACTGGCATGATTTTCTGCAAATGCTTTTAACGGAAAAGTTTTCCGTTAAAAGCATTTTTGGAACAGCGCATCTAGATTGGCACGGACGCTTTTCCGCAAAAGCACTTTTTGCGGAAAAGCGTCAGTGCCAATCTAGACATGCTTTTCTGCAAAAAAGCCCCAATCGCCATTTTCGTGATCGGGGCTTTTTTGTGGAAAACAAATCTGAGCTGTCTACACTGGCCCTTTTGCGCAAAAGCTTTGCGCAAAAGGGACTTTTGCCTGAACGGGAGCAGAATAGTATTTCCATAAGAAGCACTGATTTCTTACAGTAGGAAATCTTACATGAGATTGTCAGTGCTTGTGCAGAAATTCAAGCGGCCAGTGTAGACAGCTGGCAAGTTTTTCCAGAAAAGTGGCTGTTTTTCCGGAAAAACTGGCCAGTTTAGACACAGCCAAGGTGTGTGACTTGGCCAGAGGTGATGAAGAGGGTGCAAGCACATTCACTGGGGCCAAAGGGGGTGGTCATGAGCGGTGAGTGCCCCACTGTAATGGGGCATAGGACTAATTAGAGAATTTTGTTCCAAAATGCTAGGATGGGTTTGTAAAACTTGAGTAAAATGATTGGTTAAGAAGGTATAGTTAAGCAAAACTGGAGTCCAAAAGGAAGCTTTTTGGGGGAACCAACTCTAGGACATAGCCCCAAGATCAGTGTGGCCAGATTTCGACACACTCACAATGACAGTGCCAGAACTGGCGATCCCCCAGATGACCTGATCCTCCTGATTGGCTAGGAAGAAAAGCTCCACTGCCTTATTGGGAGTAGTGAGTACTGTAGGCTTAGCATATGCATCATTTTGAGGGATAACAGTAATATCCTACTTAACCTCTAGTTATTTACCAGTGAAAGAAGCTTACACTGTTATCTTTTGCAGGTTTACTGTCTCTTTAAGTCCTGAGTCCACAGGAAATGGCTGTTTACCCTTCTGTGAGCTCTGGACTCCATTCCTCCAAGATCTGGATGAAGTTAGGTGCCTTTTGCCTGAATCCCTAGGAACTGGGAAAGGGTGAGGTGCCTACATCAATTGGGTTATGCTTTGAGCCCTAGGAACTAAGTAGAGGTGGGATGAGCTAGCGTGTGTAAGCAACAAACTTAAGGTAAAGTTGGGTTCCTTGGATTGTGTGTAACAAATAATTTTGTGCACATAACACAACAGTTTTCCCATCTGAGTAGTTAGTTCTTTGGGGAAAGACTCTTCAGTGTGCGTGTGTACCAGGGATGTGACTGGCTAACTGGTAAGCATCACTTAGAAAGGGTAATGCTTATCATTTTTGGTTTACTGGTGGCCTAACTGGGCTGAACAGCCCCCTTCCTGATGCAGGTGGAGGGCTGCTTCAGCCTGACTGGGCCCACGGTGCTGCAGGCCTGGCCAGAGCAGCTCCCACTTGCCTCTGTTTAACCAGTTAACTGATCAAATGGGATTTTCCATCTCTAGTGTGTACAGAACACAGCACAATAGGGCCCTGATCAGGGCCCCTGGATACTGCCATGTATCAAATAAGAAATCTAAACAATTTTAAATTATCACTATCAATCAGTCCTTACTGTGTCTCCTAATACAGCTGTTCAAAGTGTACAATACAGATGGTGGTTTTTCCAACTTTATTTATTAGGAGGTTGTATGGTCTAGGGGGACAGAGCAGTGAGGTTGGGCTCAGGAGAAGAGCTGTGAATAGAACCCAATTTTCCTGTCTCCAGCATGCTGAGTGACCTTAAGCATGTGTCTGCCCCTTGTTGTGCCTCCATTTCCCTATCTTCAAAGTGGATGCAATGAGAGATATTTCCTTTACAAAGCATTTTGAGATCTATGGATGAAAAATGCTATGTAAGAGCTAGGTATTAATTTAAATAAAGCTAACATAAGCAAGTGCACAGTTTAGCTAAAAATATACACCTCCCACTTCCGTAGTAGTAATAGGCATTTAATACATGACAGAGCTATAGATAAATTGCTTTTATTAGCAGCTTTGACTGCCTCAGCTGCACACTGCCCCAATCCATCAGACCTTTTAATAGTCAACTTCTGTGAGCAGCTTTCAAACAGCCATTTTATTTTTGAAGAAAAACATGAATAAAACCTGCTAATAAATATTTTGTGTCTCAAGGATGGAATTTCTCACCCAAAATTAAACTGTTCTCTATCCCAGGATGGGCAATATTCAGTCCAGTACTAACTCCAGTACCAGGTAAATTGGTTGAAACCAAGGAACAAAAATATTAAGACACATAGATGGGATATGTTGGGGAAGAGTCAATTTGGCTTTTGTAACATGGAAATTATGCCTCACCAATATATTAGAATTCTTTGAAGCAGTCAACAACTATGTGGCCAAGGGTGATCCTGTGGATATAGTGTACTTGGACTTTGGGGAAGCCTTTGATAAAGTCCCACTCCAAAAGTTCTTAAGCAAAGTAAGCAGCCATGGGATATGAGAGGATCTTCTCTCTTATCAGTAACTGGTTATAAGGCAGGGGAACCAAGGGGTAGGAATAAATGTTCAGTTTTCACAGCACAGAGGTATAGTGGAGTTCCCCAATCATATGTACTGGATCAGTGCTGTTTAAAATCTTCATATTATCTGAAGAAAGGAGTAAACCGTGAGGAGGCAAAGCTTGTAGATACAAAAGTGCTCAAGCTAGATAAGTCCAAAGCGGACCACAAAGTTAAAAAAGATCTCACAAAACTGGATGACATGGCAACGAAGTGGCAGATGAAGGTCAATGTTGATAAATGCATATTGAAAAAATGCAATTCCAACTAGCCACACAAAATCATGGATCTAAATTAGCTATTTCCACTCAAGACAGAGATTTTGGAGTTGTTGTTGATAGTTCTCTGAAAACATTTGCTCGGTGTAAAGCCGAACAATGTTAGCAACCACTGGGAAAGAACAGATAAGAAGACAGAAACTAGCATGCAACTATATAAATACATGGTATCCCCACACAATAAATACTGTGTGAAGTTCTGGTCACTTCATCTCAAAAAAGATACATTAGAACTGGAAAAGGTACACTGAAAGGCAACAAAGTGATTAGGGATAGGGAACAGCTTTTGTATGGGGGATTTAAAAGACCGGGATTATTTTTCTTGGAAGAGAGACTAGTACAGGGGAATATGATACAGATCTATAAAATATTGGATGGTGTGAAGAAAATGAACAGTCTGCTCCTTCACATAATACAAATCAGGGATCACACAATGAAATTAATAGGAAACAGGGTTGTTGTGGGGTTTTTTTAAAGTAATATTTCACACAATGCACAGTCCACTTTGGAATTTGTTGCCATAGGATATTAAAGCCAAAAGTATAAATGGATTTTAAAAATTAGATAAGTTTATGAAGGCTAGGTCCATCAATGGCTATTAGCCAAGATGGCCAGGGATGAAACTGTGTGCTGTGCAGCCTTTAGGCGATCTGCAGGGCATTGGGACTGGACCACAGGAAATAGATCTCCTGAAGACTGCCCTAACTATTCTCTTTGAAGCATCTATCAGTGGCCACTGTCAGAATACAAGATACTAGGCTAGATGGACCTGTGGTCTGACTTGGTATTGCCATTTTTAAGTTCTTAGGACCTCTGCCAGATTGAAGGTCTAACATCTGGCAACCCAAGCGCAGCTTTATATCAGAAAACCAGGAATTCTCCTAACCTAGTTGTACAGGACAATCCCCTCCAGGCCTGGAGCCCAGCAGCCCTCGCCTTCACAGCAGTGGCTGGCGCGCACACTTTGCAAATGGAGCAGGCAGCTGAAGCAGTGACTGGAGCCGAGGGGAGGCCAGTGAGTCCATGCCCTTAGCTAAAGCTGTGTGGCTTCGAGGGAGGTGCGGTTATGTGCGCTGACCAGTCACAAGCCATTGCCCTCCGCGGGCGCTGCTCCGGGAGCCCCTGCGAGCAGGCTGGCTGG